GGGTGTACATATGGTTTTAGGAAAGGGCATCTGTAGTAGAAAATAAGCTTGTGTTATTAGATTCTATGTGGCGCTTTTCTCTTGCACCTTCCATGGCTACATTTAAAAGATACAATCTCGCAAATCCGGCAAACTTGAGAGCTGAAAAGTACCGAACCCGTGAATATCCCAAACCTTAGAAGTTTTGGATAAACAAGGCAACATGTAAAGCTGTAAAACTGACAACGGTACACCTTACGTGAACCTCTTAATGGCAGTGTTAATCTGATTCCTCAAGATTATTCATGAGCGCTTTGTTGAAATCCCTGTTCCAAACCATCGAAGGTGTCGGATTAGCAAAGCAACCGAACAAGTTCAACCCATATTATTTCTTACTGCATTTCTTTACTGACTAGACACAACACTATGATTTTATATACGCAGATTTGCATTACATTGCAAACTAACCAGAAAAGGGCCATTTTATTGACTTATTATGATCATAGATAGACCTATTTATATTTAATGCAATTAATCCATTATAATACAGTTATAACATCATTTTATTCAATTATTATTTCCTCTTTTAACAGATCCACAAAAACTATAGAAACGATTGTGGAGACTGAAGATCGTGGATCACTAAGGCTCAGTGTGGGACCCAGATCACTGCAAACTATCGTCTTTGTGTGACATAATCGAAGTAATGTATTTGGTTACCATATCAGCCTATCCTGGTAACTGTAAAAACATTTGGGGAAATTGATTCAGAATTACTATGTCAGTCTGTTATATATTGCATTTCTCTATGTAGTGCAAAATGCAAGTATCTAAGCCAAAACACCAAATTACTCTTCAATACCTGTAATGTAAATTAAGAATTCAACACTCATTCACCCGTATGATGTTATTACCAAAGACCCAACCATGTCTGTAATTAGATCAAGTATAGTATATTCTCTACACTAAAAGGTAGCTGAAATCTGTATGCTTTCATATATATCACTAACCCCTTCGTTCAATGGATGTTTTCACAGTGCCATAGATGTATTTGACTGGTTTCGATTATAGTTTCACCAGAAATACATATATTTTCTTTCTCATCCATATCTTTTCTACAACTTTTCAAATCTTTACAGTCCTTCCGTATTTCTTTCTGTTAATTATTAGACCGAAAAATGAAAATTTGAGGTTACTTCATGCTCAGGGTGATGTGAAGCGATGGAGTGGTAGCCTAGACAGTGTTAAGTGCTTTGTATGCCTTCTCGCTTGCAGCTGTCACCGCAGGGAGCAGCTTTGCATAAGCCTCCCCTGCCAGTTCATAACCTCTCTGTCATCAAGACTTATTCAGTGCCTCCTTGTGGCCACCCATGGAAACATGGAGTACCTTGTGGTCCCAGGCTAAACTGTGGGGGATCTCGGAGCATCAGAAGGCCCTAGAGGTACGGAGTTATGGCCCACCGGTGTGTGGACATGCCCTGGCTCCATATCAACTCCTACCCCCAGCCCCCTTGGGTCAATGGGTGGCGTGAGGGAGGAGGCCCTTGCCAGTCCTCCTCCCCCAGACAAAAAACTTCTCTTATAAATGGTAATCCTGTTGGGAGGGCGACTGCTGGGGCGCAGGATGGGAATCGGAGTTGTTCGTCCCGCCTGTGCTCTGGTAGCCGTCAACCCTGTGTGAGGCCTGTGGAGCAAAGTCCATGGGAACCCCACAACCTGCCACCTCACTTTATATGGGGTAACGTGGGTAGGGGTGGCGTCCATCCGGAGCGACAGCCCGAGGCTTAACCTCAGGCAAGCTGTCTGGGTAAGAGCTTGGAACATCTGGTCCTTGTGGCAGGATGAGCGGTTACCCCTGCTATTGAGGGAAATCAAGCGGTTGGGAGTTGAGGTGGCTGCCCTCTTGGAGGTGAGAAGACCTGGGAGTGATATGATCAGTATAGGTGGGTACACCTACTACTGGCCGGGCCGTGGCGATGGTCATCATCTCCAGGGTGTAGCCATCTCCAGCCGAATTTAACCCTCGGTAGTAGAGGTAGCACTGGTTGATAAGCGTATTATGGCACTGAGACTGAAGCATGCTTTTGGTTTCGTGTCTCATATTGCTGTGTACTCTCCTACCGATGTTTGCAAACTTGATAGGAAAGAATTGTGTTATGGCAAACTCACATCTGTGGCAGACAGTTGTCCTCGGCAAGCCATTCGCATTGCTCTGGGCGTCTTCAATGCGGTATCCAGCTGTGAGCAAGCTGGCTGCAAGATGTCTGCAAGATGGCTCAGGAGCTGATCCCAGCAGCGAGAACAGCCTCCTTCTCCGGGACTTTACTAGGTCCCAGAGTTGGAGGATTTCTGGCTCCTGGTATCAGTGCTCCAACCTGCATCGCTAGGCATGGTACAGGTACTGTTGCTAAGGAGATCGATCACATTCTTGTCAGCACTTGTTGGAGGATCCTTCAGAATTGCAGGGTTTACTGGACTGCCAAGTTCTGTGACACTGACCACAGGCTGGTTGTGGCTACCATACGAGTCCACTTCAAAACTCTTTGTTCCTCCAGTGACCACTCTAGGATATATCACTTAGACAGATTGAGGGGGGAGGAGTGTCTCTGATCAGTTCACAGAACTTGAAAACCTAACGGACCCAGATTCTCTGTGGGAGTCCTTTGAAACATTCAAAGCAGCACAGGAGTCCATTGGCCTCAGGGAGCCATGACCAGGTTATTCCCCTGTTTAGTTGTCTAGCTCCTACCCCTCAAGGGGACCCTGGACTATTTCTCTCCCCAACATACTCCAGGCTTACTATGGCCAGTAATAAAGATTTTGTATCACATTTAAGAGCAATGAGGCTTGTCTCTTTACCAACTAGCCCACTGATTTTAATTCTCTCGGTTTCCCCACCCCAGGCACTCTTTTAACCGCGACTCTGAACACTACTACTACCCCCTTCTCAACACCTACTATTACCCCATTCCAGTCCAAATCATTCACCTAGGTCATTTGCTCAACCTCCAGGAAACATCCTCTCCCAACATCTACTTCATCATCTACAACCCTCTTCTCCCTTATTACTTCTCTGCAGCCTTATTATACATTTCTCAGCAGTACTATTTCACTCACTTCTATGAGGCCAGTCCATCTTCTACCCCTACCTTTACAAATCTTTTGAGTGCTCTGTTTAGCCCAGACAAATGGAATCGTCTTTTGCGATCCCCTCTAAAGCCTCGTACTCTGATAATACTCTCCTCTTCCAACAATGTCTGCAACAACAAATAGGCACAGTTTCTTTCTGCAGCCGCCCCAATCGTTCCCCGCCCTGTCAAAGCTACATCCGAATCCCAAGCTAAAGCATTATCAACCCTAGACTTCACCAGCAAACCCATTCCTACCCAGCCTCATCCCTCCCTCAATACTTGTACCGGAACTGTCTCCATCTCCCCGACAAACTGCCCTGTTTATGACAAGGATTGGTCAGATTGTGGAAAAACCCTGCTCACCTGCCTCGTGGACTAGACTATGATGCCGTATCAGTACAATGCTACACCTCTCCCCCTAGGGGCCGCCGTAAGGCCTCCACCAGTATTGCTAAGGTTACTCTCCATAGACATGACCTCCCCTTCAAAGGAGAATCCCTCCCTGTCCGACCGTCAAAGTCAGAACTGCCGCTCCACAGCCTGATGCCCTTTGTGTGCCCAACAAGGTCATGATCAATCAAATTCTGCACAGTCACGCACATATGGTGGCTCCTTTAATGTATTTTATAGAGACTACCCTACCTACAATTTTGAGTCAGAGGTAGCAGTCCTCAGATTCAAGCTTGGTTTCATGAGAGGCCAGACAGGAAGCACGTCGACAAAGTTTTTCTCTTGCTCCCTACTCCAGTACTGTCCTGTTTCTACAACCCCCCTCCCCTGTATCTATTCCTCCTCCATCTTACGTTTCCACTTCTACCCCCTTCCTCTCCCAATCGTATTCTTTTGTAATTATAAATCCAGGCACATCAATCTCTAACACTGCCCCTCTCCCTTCTCTTCCCGTAGCAGACAATCTAAACGTTACACCCATCTTCTGCTACACCATCTCCTCCACCTCTCTTCTCCCCCTCTCAAGAAAACCTTTGTTTCTCAGACTTCTCAGACCTCCCCAACCAAATCCACTTCAGAATCTCTCGAAGACAGTCAACATTATCTAATCATGACCTAATATTACATGCTTACACCTCATTCATCCTCCTAGTCATGTTCCCCCAACACCCCTTCCTCCTCTTCCCTCCCAACACATCCCATTCTCCATATCTTCATCTGCATCATTCCCCTTCCTTCCCCATTATCCCTCCCGCTTTTCCCTGGATAAACATGGGACTCTGTTCTTGGATTCTCTCCCTCCTGACATTTCTCCTGAAACTGTGATCTTATCGCCCTTAAACCCCCTTTCTCCTTTTGCTAATCCTTACCTTACCCTACGGACATCCTTGCAGAATCTTCCTTCGACAACTCTTATCTAATCACCCTTGCTAATCCCTACCTTAGTCCTTTTATTCACCATCTTTACACTCACACCCCTTAATGCCATACTATCCTCAACTGCCCTATTACCTTTGACGTGTAGCGCATTTAATCATCAACTCTTTAGCCTTTTTACTAATACAACTTTCTATAGTATTCTATGGACTCTGATGTCTAGCACATTCATTTTGCTTTGTAACCATTACCATTTATGATTCATTGAATAGTCATAATGGAATGGGGGTAATACCATGATTTTTTAAAAATGGAATTAGATAGGTTGACCTGAAGGCGTTGCACTCTTGCGAGGGAGTTGTGGTGAGCGTGATAAAAGAAAATCGATGAGTGATGGTAAATGAATCAAATCGAAAATCAAACCGAAAAAAAACATGTCCATCTCTCATACCACTGACGTGAAATGATAAATAACAGCGAATGTCTGAAACTAATTTGAGAAAACGCGCGCTCGCTTTAAATTTTGGTCTTACCTTAGACAAATGGCCAGGGATTTAAACTGCGTTGAAGAATGCTATACATTTTATTTTCCTCTACAAGAATGAGAATGAATAAGAATGCAAGATGTTATTCAATCATTTAACTAATAAGTTTAATATTTCCACTTCGTATACATTTATCCCAGTGATCTTTATCCATAAAGATTACACTTGTCAAGTAAACACGGATACCACAGTACTACAAACCAAGATATTGCTAAATTCTTTTCATTCTCATTAATTGCTTCGTTTTACATTTATCACAATGAACCATAATCGATCATCAAGAGTAACCAAGTCTTATCACAATGATCCCTATGCAAACAAGGCCGTGTGGAGAGACCTATGTGCTACGTCCAGCCTCAGTGATCCACGACCTTCAACATCTAGAATTACTTCGATGTCATTATCCGATCTGTGAGAGAGAATGATCTGTATGATAAAATACACTACGATGCTTGAAGAAAATATTAGTGAACAAAAATAATTATTAAAATAGATATTTTTATAAATACAGTAATAATTTACTGGTATTTATGTTTATAAATACCAGTAAAACAATAACAAGATGTAACTAGAAAAAGGTTAGAGTAAATGCTATTATAAAATCAAATTCAAAACTAATTTTGCATAAATTAGTGACCGTGATATGTTACGGAGATACGATACAATACGATAAAAGAAAGAAATAAAGATTAATAAATTAGGCTCATTACGTTTGCCCAGCTACTGCCACTGCTAAGATTAGTATTAAACATTAATCTGTTTCTTAAAACTGAATGGAGATACGTATTAAATATCATATAATACTTTTAAATTACACAAATGAAGAATAGACGAATATATATGAGCATTTCATCTGAAATACAGTATGAGTGATACAGTAATACATATGAGTAATGCGGTAATATAATAATAGATTAAAATAAGACAACTACACACATCAACACATCTCAACCACGCAATAATTCATGGAGATAAACACAACACTACGTACACTGTAACACATTTCAACGATCCAATAACAAATCAAAACCTTCAATACGGCTTGAAAATGAAGATAATTGAGTGTGGTTCACCTGTTGAGGATAACGACCGCTGTGGAGCCGTCGGGGTTCCTGAAGGCGGTGGCGTCCAGCTTCTTCGGGTCTTCGGAGGTGAGGCCCAGCTTCGTCGCCCCCTCCTTCACGAACTTGGAGAAGTGGCCCATCGCGTAGAACATCGGGTTCTTGTAGAACTCGTCTGCTTCCTTTACGAGAGTCAGAGCAACTAAAGACGGTGTACTTCTTCAGCACGCATACAAACATATAGAGATAAATAGACAAATAGATAGACACATGTTTCAAAATGCTATGTAAGACACCCCCCCCTTTACCTTATTCACAATGATGGGAGCGTCGACGAAATTTTCGGCCCAGTTGGGTCCTCCTTGCATGTCCAGCGCCAGATTCCAGTCCACCCAACCCGTGACCCAGTGGTTCATGTCCTGGAAAAAAAAAGAAAAAAGGAAAGAAAAGAAAAGAAATATATATATATATATATATATGTGTATATATATATATACATATATAGTTCATGTCCTGGAAAAAAAAGAAAAAGGAAAGAAAAGAAAAGAAAGAATATATATATATATATATATATATATATATATATATATATATATATATATATATATATATATTACAGAAGTTTAAGTCTCCTACGTGAAAATTAATATCAGGCCTATAGTCTCCCATAACACAATGGTACATGTTTCGGGAAAAATAAGTTCTGAGTCTTAATCTCCCTTGACCCAGTAGTTCATTAAAAAATCTAAATGATTAAAAACAATTCATCTGGCCAAGTGATGCGTGTCCTAATCCGTTATATTTTCTTTTGCCCAGTAATACATGTCTGGCGACAATAGGGAAAATAAGTAAGGCCCATGAAAATATATATAAGTTAATATTCCCGTCTGACCCAGTGGCCATAAAGAAAAAAGAAGAAAAAAAACATGAAACTTTGAATTTCTTTTAACCCTTTAGTTCTCATCCAGAAAAAACCCTATAAAGTCTTAAATCTCATTTAATCCAGTGGTTCAAGCTCTGAAACAAAATTCAATCTATTTTGTTTTCATTTCCTTGACCCAGTTATTCATGTCCTACACTTCGAAGCGGGAAGTGAGATATTTACAAAACAAATAGCTATATCTACAGCAAGTTGATAACTAAATTCATTAAGAAAATCCTAAAACAAAGAAAAAAAAACTAGCTTAAGTTTCGAATTTCGTTTGACCCAGGGTTCCTAGGTGGAGCATGCATGCCTGAATACAAACATTTAAGGTTACAAAAATTCAGTCTTACGTGCGGATATACACAGTGTTTTCGAGGTTAGAGAGAAAGTGGAGGCTGATAACTATGATTAACGTGAAAAAAATCTTAAATGATAGGGGAAATAACTAAATGAATTTTGAATATTCTTTGGCTCACTGGTTCATGCACTGAGTGTAGATAAGTATACCTGCGATATATATATATATATATATATATATATATATATATATATATATATATATATATATATATATATATATATATATATCACATATATATATATATATATATGTGAGCGGTACATACAAAGAGGGAGAATATGATTTTTTGTTGCCTTGGATTATTTTGATTATTGAAAAAGTTATCAGAAAGTTGAATTGGCAGGTTACCATTGCTGAAATACTTATTACAAAGGTTGATAACAATGCTTTTGTCGCTAAAACCTCAAATGCTTGAAAACATCTAATCTTACAATGAAGGATGCCTTCGTCAGTATAAAAAGGGTATTCAAGCGTAACTCACCACAATGATGTCGTGGGTATAACTCTCGAGGCGCTCCCACTTGCCCAGGGCGACGTCGACTTCGAGAGGGGTAGCTCCTGGGGGGGGGGGATAGATACTGGGTCATTGGCAGCATTGTGTGAAATGTAGGCAGGAGGTTTTGGTTAATACCTATATGTATGTCTACTTATCTATGTACTAATGTGTACTTACGAAAATGGAAACACGCACACACACACACACACACACATACACACACAAACGCGCGGGCGATATCTATCTATCTATCTATGTATATATGTATGTATATGCATCCATAACATATTGTAAAGCGGTCGCGCACTGACCCTCGCAGGCTTCGGTGCCGAGGATGAAGTAATCCGGGAAGAGGTCGTGGGTCTGCGTGAGGCGCTCTGGCACTGTGTACAGGTCCCCGTACCAGTGCACGCCGATGCCCGACACGTACTGGGCAGCCTCGGGGTCGTTCAGAACCTTTAAGGTGGCCGGTTATTATTACCGTTATTGTTATTAGTTCATACGCGGTTGCAAAGATGAGAATAACACTAATTGTTGGAGAGTTGAAGGATATTGTTATTACATTATGATATTTAGATTTTCGAGATGAATGTTTTTTTTTCAGCGCTCTCAATGCACGTTGATTCGCTCTCCATGCATTGCGATTCAATTACAAAAAACAGTATCCCTACAAACTTACCATTACACCTAAAACTACAAATGAAAATACCGTACATCTTCAGCCCAGCCTGGGAGTTCGTATCTCTGGTCGTCGAGTATCATGAGCTTGACGTCCCCGTAGCCATGTTGCAGCAGCGTAGGACCGAGGTTCTCCGCCACCCACTTCCGCTGCTCCTCCGCCGTCCAGCCCATGCAGTTGAAGAAGAAGCCGGGGATATTACCATCAATTGGCTCGTTTTGTGCTGTTAGGCCCCAGTAGGTGATTCCCTGAGCTGCATATTCGTCCAAGAATCTGAGGGTATGAAGGCACGAATACGATTAAGCCTAGCGGTAACAATTAAGGGTCTTTGTAACTAAATTATGTAGCATTCATGAATACTTTCTGCTTTCCAGTATTTGGTAAGTAATGGCAAAGGGCAAAATGAGATGATCCTGAACTGTTGTGTCATTAATTCACTACAAAACATTTTGATTCAAATAGCTATTCATAGATTAAAGCCCACGAGACAGGTGTGTGGCAATATTACGTTTCTGTCTTGAAGAAAAACACCTTTGTCCTGAAATTCTAAGCATATGCTTAGTTTTTGCTTGCATATATAGACTACACCGTTTGCTAAATATATATTTTTTCAGATCACCACTGTGGGTGATGCCACATAGCTGAAGATCACTATTTGAGATAAAGATTTCGTTTAGCTGTTTTCCTTCAAGTTAACTTCCAGCCTACGGAAGGTAAGCCCACTTCCTCACCTGACGAAGTAGTCTGCCCAGGGCTGGTACATGTCGTGGCGCAGCTGGCCGTAGCCCACGTAGTCGTTGTTGGTCTTCATCCACTTGGGCGCCGTCCACGGCGACGCGAACAGCTTCAGGGGCCGCCCGGCCAGCGCCTCGGCCCGCTTGATCACCGGAATCTGTCCAGAGAAGTCACTGACATGCATAAAACAGGTGGCAGTGTAGTTAATATCTCAAATGTATATATATGTGTGTGTGTTAGTCTGTTCACAGCCCACTCCCCACCTTGTAGTCCGTGTCCTCCGGCTGCAGGGCGAAGGTGCTGAGCTCCACGTCCCCCTCCGCGTCGACGTAGGTGTAAGTGCGCCACGAGAAGTCGCAGCCGCCCATGTTCACGCGCCCGATATTGTACTCGAGACCCGACGGCGAGAAGTAGGAGCTGGCGGGTGTAAGTTGGGGAAAGCAGAAATAAGTCGGGGAAAGGTAGGTCTATCAGAGACAGCGAAGTGGGAGTTGCGGAAAGACAAGTCCATCAAGGAGACTGGAGGCGAATATGAGTTAGGAAATGACACGTCTGTCAGGGAGACGAAGTGAAATTAGGTTTTGAAGAAAGAGTTGCCGATGGTAGACTCTGAATATTAAGGGCTATCAGCGAGACCACATGTGCATTGGAGTTGTGAAGAGGTAGATAGACTTAACGTGAATATAGATAGTAAAGTTTATGAAGTTTCGATAACAATTTTTCATAGCTTTACTTGCTGTGAGAGGAAATGGACACAGGTTT